CCTGTGTATAAGTACATATCTTCTGTATTTTTCACGTAAACCGTACTATCCAAGGGAAATTTACTTACGTTAACTTCAATAACATAGTTCAAATACGATTGTCTATAATCTTTATTCAGTTGTAAACGTAAGAATTAGGAATAAACACTTCGATATTAGATTTTAAGTCACCTAAGATAAAGTACAGTGCTTGGAAACGCTATTGATGTGTTTTTCCTATAATATAATAATAATAATCAACCCTCTCTCGTACGCCTGGAGGAAGTCTCATACCCTACGCCCACCTCCACCAGCTGGGCTTTTCGTGCACTCAGCCTGAGCCGGACCGCCGCCAGGTGGAGCTAGTCTCCCCGGCAGACGCCGACCCAAATTGACTTCTGGTCTCGCTACGCGGGCTTTTGTAGCAACTGGCGAAGACCACCGGTGGACCGCTCACGGACGACGTGGTTCTAGCCGACAGGGTCGTCCAGCCTGTGTTTAGTTTCGTGGTCATGCTAATGATTGTACACTAATTTGATCACTAATCCAATCTAAACGACGGCTATACTTCAGTTTTGGCCGTCGCCTGGGAGTCTTTCAGATTTAGCTTTGTTACGGACTGCACAAAACCTGCATTAGAGCAGAAACAATCGTAATCGTTCGGAGCGATTGTGAAGTCTCGATTGGACATGACCTCTTCCGATGTACACAAAAATTTTTCGTCCCTTTATTTTTCCTTGAGTGGAACACTATTTGCCGGCGGTCTATTTTTTTCGTAAACTCGAGGTGTGACAAAGTCTTTTATTAGGAACTACCACCAAACCTTGTCCTACCGCAAAGTAGTGTCGTCTTAATATTGAATAGAGGCCATCTTCAGCTAGTACGGTAATCGAGGCGGAGGAAAAAAGAAAAGAAAAAATTTCGATTTCCTGGGGTCTAGTCGGAAAGAGATTGTCCCGACTTTATCTCAGCAATACTCCCTACAAAAATTTTGCGAATAGACAACCCATAAAACTCTTTTGTGTAGTATCTGTACAAAAATATATAAAAATATATAGACTCTGGGTATTATATACGGATTTTATCGTACTATCCTCTGGGAAATTTGATTAATTATTTACTAATAACATAAAGTAAAGTCATTGGTAGATCGCCCTGGACGAAAGTTCGCAGGAAGTCCGTCGCGTCTGATACCTTCAAAAGTAAGCCGAGAAATTTTTCCATTTACATTCCGTAGGGAGTATGGTCACGCCTAAGTCCTAGCATCCTCTGGGCCCGAATCCCCCCCCCCCCCCCACGATTACCTCGTGCGAGTACAGTTGAGCGGCCCGGGGCTCACTCGCTATTTCGCATGAGAAGTTGGATTGGCTTCTAGTGAGAAGAAGTCCGTCCCTTCCGATTCGTCATGCGTCCGATTGACAAGGCGTCGACGACGGAGAGGACAACTGAGCCATGACGGGTGTAATTAGTGCTTTTGCAAATTTTTTTTTTTTTTTTATCGAAGCAATCAAGAAGGTCTACAATCACTTTGTAAGCCCCGAAAAAGTTTCTTTTTATAGGCCCTAACGTACTTTCCAGGGGAAATTCTATACGACATTTTATACAAAAGGTGTCAATACATAATATAAGGTCCTCAATATTAACAAGACATAAATCTACATAAATAATAATAAATAAAAAAATATATATATAAAGTCAATAAATACAAACTTATATAATAAACAAATAAAGATATCGGGAATAAATTGTATTGAATAACTAGAATAACACAGATACCATACAGTATAATTAATTTTTTTGTAATTTGTGTTTCGGTTAAGTTACTTATAGTTTTCGATGAATTTGTTATAAGGTCCTTAAAAAAAATCATTGAAAAATGCAACAATTTTTTTTTTGTAACTGTTATTAGGTGTGACCTACTTTTTTTACAAATAAATACAAACCTTATATCTTGATTTTGAGACATTAAACCTGGATTCATATTCAGTGATCAAGTCATCTCCGTTTCACTTTCTCATGAAAAAAAACTACTATGTGATTAAGGAGTGATTATCTTTCAGTGGGCAGATTGTCTTTAGACGAACTTTGAGTTTGAGAGGAGAGGAGAACAGACGTCGGCTCAAACCGATGTACTCTCCCTACAATGAAACTCCTCCTACTTCGACCTCCGGGTAGCTGGGTCGAGGGTTGGACCGTTCGTAGGACACCCGGTGGTTAGCTTTTTCCATTCTGAGGGGAATAAACAATATTATGATTACAGACACCAAACAGGACTAGACCTAAAATCTTTAGGTAGTTCCTGGGTCAGATCTGTACTCGACATGATGGCTTCGACCAAGTTTGATTGGGTGACCTATACAAACTAATCGGCCTAAACCGGATTTAGTTTTTTTGTAATGGCGTCGAGAGAGCGATTTTGGCCATGGATATGCTTTCGCCATAGTCACCTAGCGAGGTTTGGTTTCGGCACAGGATAGATCAATCCACGCGCAAGGTGTACTTATCCCCACATAAAACCCGTAAGGCTGGGGTTTAGGTGTTTGTACATCTTCGCATTTACTGTCGCCGTCGCAGTATGGGGAAGGACTTACTTTCACCTTGGAAATTAGTAATCGTTTTATACTTCTTCAATTTGAATTGTAGGTACTGAATTTGTGAAATAGGTCCTAGTTTTTTCGGTGGATCGCGTCGGACGTCCCACTTATGTCGGACCTTTCTTTTTTCACAACTTTTACACATGTATTGGTCCAAATACTATAGTGACGGGCAGGATTCTGTGGTAGACTGAAATTAATGGTAAACAGGCTCCACAAAGGCAGGTTGAATTTACACAAACGGGAATTTTTATTATGAGACCGTATGTCATACCTTTGTTGCACTCACATCTCCGGTGTGTCGGGGAACTCACGCAGCGTCAGAAAATAAAACCCTCTCTCTTTTCCTCCGTACCCAAATCTCTAAAAACGGGGGAACAACGGAGCTGATCCAGATTTGCGTCCGATATGACGTAATATCTGAAATGTGGACCCACGGCCCTTTCAGAAACGTTGCTATCAGAAACAATGCCCGACTGTTTTGGACGTAATATTGTCGGTGTTTACATTAGCATCGCTAACACTCAGAGCTAACCTGTACTGGAGAGCATGTGTGTGAAGAAGCAGGAAGTAAAAAGGAACTCACCTTGTGGTATAACCGGCAAGAGAGAAAGCCTTTGAGCTCCATACTGTTTCAGAGAGAATCCTTGATAATCCATGATATGGCGTTTCATCACGGAAGCATTTAGTTTGGACAGTAGCTGCCGGGTCCCGCATGAGCTCAGACCCCTCCTTTTTTTCTTTTTTAAACTTTATACATAAAATCAGCACTTTAGAAACAGGAAGTGAAATAGAGGGATATGAGGCATGGCTAGAATGGGTGATCTTTTTGGTATTTTGAGCAAAACACTTCATAGACATGTTTTTTATATATATATTTTTATATCTGAGACCTATGCTATTGCCAAAAAATAGCATGACAGGTGACCTTTAAAGTACCTACCTCAGTATCCTTTTTTAAAAAATAAAAAATAAACGCTCCTTTTTATCAAATAGCTTTCAATTAGGTTTCTTTTCTCCATTGATTTATTTTTAATACGTTTCGACTTCTATTTATCGATTATTGCAATTTTTTTTACTATTAATGTCTATATATGTCTGTGAAGCACTTTGAAACACATTGTATTGAAATGTTATTATAAGAGGCTTTAAACAACCCTTCATTGACCCTTAGCTCCGGGAAACATTGTGCATAAGGGACAAGCTTAGGTTTCAAACTTTAAAAAGGTAGTTTCTGCACCAGCCAGGAACAGTTCAATGCATTTCAAAGTGAGCAGCACTCTCATTCCTCCGCTGAAGCCCACATATCAAAGCAAGGAAATTGCACACTGCCCGGCCCGAAGGCTTAATTTCCCCTCCATATTGTTCCTTTCTGCACTGCAATATATGGGAGACGTAAACGTGAGAGGTCATCGTATCCCTCCTGTCACAAAGCTCATCAGTAACCCAGAAATGTGGAGTCAAACAAAAAATCTATCTTCCTCCTCCTCCGACATGTGGGAAACAGCAGGGAAAAAAATAAATAAAGTTTGTACAGGGGAAGCTTCAAGGAGATAAAAGAGAAGACAGACAGCCGCTGGATATTCAGACCAAATGCTTCATCTGGTGTTCCTGCTATGTGAACAAACTGTGACAAGGAGAGATTAAACTGATCTGCAGTGAAATCAAGTAGCAACGCTTTATACAGGCGCAGCTGAAGCATAACATTCAGCAGATTGCTATTAAGAGAAAGGAACAAGAACGTATATTAAGTGATGGAACGTTTATTAAAGAAGATTAATGTCAGACTCGGGCTCCAACTAAGATATTTTAGAGGACGAATTTTTATCCAATTTGTGTGTAAATCATCTGGCTTTGACCTTTTGACTTTTCTGTCAGTGTTAATGTATTTTCTGATTTGTATTAAACGTATGTTATATGTTCTTCTTCTGTTTTAATGGTTTTAATTCATACTTATTGTTGTGCATTAAGCCTGCTGATGGAGTATAAATTGTGCGTTGACGGACATAGTAAGATTTTTGGAAATATATAAACCGTATAAATGTAACTCATTGTGCCTGACTCAATAAAGAAGAAATAAAAACACATATTACAAATAAAAATGTCTTTACAGTTTTAAGTTGCTCTGCCAAATCCAGCACCAGACACTTTTTACGCTGCTATGGGCAATCTTGCACTTGTACATTCCCAAAGATATTGAAGTGACTGTTATTTGTATATATATATGATTGTTGCACTTTTATCTTAATTTATATATAATATTCTATACATATTTTTATATATATGTCAGGGAATAATTTCCATAGATGTTTACCTTTCGCCCTCTGACGCAGATGCCCAACCTTGAGCAGCCGTTACCTCCCTTAAGGAGGGGCTGCCATAGCATATTGCTGATGTTGCCAGTTTATGAACTCTCGTCAGAGATAGTTATTGTTGTGGGATACCTGGAACACATCCTTCTCGGGGGGTAGATGACCCTGAGCCATAACAACAAATGTGATTCAGTGTCCTCAGCTGTTCAATCTAACTAATGAAGAATGTTGATTATTACACTCTGAACTACCGTAATTTTCGGACTATAAGCCGCGCCTTTTCCCCCATTTTTCGACGCTGCGGTTTATATAACGGTGCGGCTAATCTATGGATTTTTACAGCTAACGGCCAACACCTTTAACTCTATGGGCTCTATGGCCGGTCCGCGGACCCCCACCTTTAAGCGGCGGGTTCCAGCAGGAAAAGCTGGAGGCCGGAAAAGAGTGAGACAGGTAGCGCGCAAAAGTAAAAGTGGAACCGAGAGTGGTATGCCGCTGCTGCGGCTTATATTCAGGTGCGAAGCTTATAGTCCGAAAATTATGGTAGTTAAAACCTGGAGCTACAGGAGGGGTCTTCAGAAATTGATTGTGGCATCTCTACCGTGTGGTCAACTCGTGGCCCGTGACCTGTCGTGTGAATTCTCCGGCCGAAGCTCCAAATAAACCGTCAGTGTTTGCCATCAAAGCTCCAGCTCTCCTCGTGTCTCTCTGAGTCTCCATTGCTTCAGAAGTTTCCCCCATAATATATATATTGTATTTTTGTATTCGGGTTTGTAGGAAACAACTCTGTCTTTACACTCAAACTGAAAGATTGACAATAAAGTTGACTTTGATTTCTCACCCATTGCTATAGGGATGTCTGTCCAGTTGAGGGCGCACTTCTGGGTGCAGACGCCCTCTTCATTGAGCACCACAGTGAGGTCGTCCTGCCCGACAGCCACCTTCCCATCAGCCAGTGGGGTGACCAGCGGCTCCAGCTGCTTCCCAGTGGGGAAGAGCTCCTTGATGGAGCCTCGGCCGTCCATCTGATCAACAGGAGGGATCATTAGAGGAAGTATTAATAACATCTTACAAACTGAAAGGTCGATCATAAAGTCACATAAATCACATCATAACTCCAAGGCGTTATCTTAATTAACAAATAACTCGGTAAAAACAGACATTTATCCTTTGATGTTTATTCAAAGAGCACATCTAACTATCACATTTCAAGTTCAGGAAGCACTCCCACAGAAACATTGTGCTTAAAATAATGAAACAACATTAAAGAAAAGCTAATTAGACTAGCTATAACACTACCAAACGTTAGCTGAAGATACAAATAAAAGTAAGAAGGAATACTAAAAGGGAGAAGCCCAAAATAGCTCATTCAAGGATAACAAAACAAACAGGAACTAATTATATCACAGCCGGTTTCTACCTTTGAAAAGTGGTATAAAACACTTCCTGTAGTTGTGAAAGGCACGTGCAAAATGTTTGTTTCTCACGGATAAATAAGGATTTGTGCAAGAGTCATGAGAGACTAAAGCCTAGTCTAAAAGGCTGTACAGGAAACAGCTTAAAACCAAGCATTGTGCTTTGTTTTTTTGCAACATTTGGGAAAAGATATGACAGTTATGAATTAACCAGTTCAAGAGGAAATGCAGAGAAATTATTTTCTCGAGATACAGGGATGGGGAAGGTGTTTGACTATGTGTATGTGTGTATGTATATATGTGTGAGTATGTAGGTGTGTATATGTATATGTGTGTATGTGTGCATATGTGTATGTGTGTATGTGTGAGTATGTAGGTGTGTATATGTATATGTACATATGTGTATATATGTGTATATGTGTGAGTATGTAGGTGTGTGTGTGTGTGTACATATGTGTATATGTATATATGTCAATCAACAGGTAAAGCACATTAATAATAATAATTAATCATAATTATTGCAGATTATAGATTGTAAATAAATCATTTAGGGACAAGGGGGTGAGATTAAATAAATTATACTTCTTCTCACTCCTTTTCGAACACTAGATGTGGGACTGTTTATGTAGCTAATGATGTTGTTGTTGTTGATGTTGTTGTACATTTCTATGCACTGCAACATTTGTTTTGTTTTGTAATTACTTGTTTGAAATAAAATGTATAAATCAATCAATCAATCAATCAATCAATCAATCAATCGAGTGAGCATTCAGGTGGATTTTGGAGAATTGAATATGCTGCAGGAGTATTTACAGATGGATGTTTTGATAGTTTAAAAAGGAAAACACTAGCTTCCTTTAAGTTCAGGGTAGCTTTAGATAAGTAAAGCGGAGTATAGAAAGTTTCCTGTAGCACATACCCGGATGAGGTAATAGTCTCGCTTGAAACCAACACATATGGAGTTTTCACACCAGGCCATGGACTTTGGAATATCTGGTGCACCAAAATCCCCCTGACAGACACAAACAGAACATTAGGATGATTAAAGGTAAATCATACAGCAGTGAGTCACATCTTAACTGTATTTTATTTCACCTGCAGCTCGTAGAAGTCTCTGTCCTTCCAGTAATACATCTGGATTTTCTTTTTCACCGCCACACACATTCTCAACCTTTCCTCCCCTGTGCTGGTTAGCTGGAAACAACAGAGACAACATATATTAATCAAGACTTAAAAATATCAAGAAAGATGTGTATAATCACAGAAATGTGGAAACCAAAGAGTGTTTCACCTTTCCAAAAGACTGTATAAGAAATATGCACGTTTTTCTTAGTTTGGTTGATTTAATGCACATTTCACAGATCTTACATTACTGCTGAACATCTTTTGAACAAACAACGTCTCATTGTCTTTTTCTTTGTGCAGTGTGCTGATTTCGAAAAGGCAAAGCAACAGTTTTACATGAACTGCCTTTCAGATTTTAACTATTATTTGCGGGAAGGGGGGGTGCTGGGGGGGCTGCAGCACCCCCATCTGCGAGGCTCCACTAGCACCCTCACCCCCAAACGCGGCGCACCTACAGTGTAAGCGCCACAGTTTCGCCGCTGCGAGGCTCCACTAGCACCCACACCCGCACTCCGTACCCCCAACTCTGACTGACT